ACCAGTGGACCATTGTTGAGCAACTTGTGTCTCCATTGAAAAACTGGAGAATCTTTTTAACGGCTTCTGCTGCCTCTTTTCCTGGCGCTTGGTAGTTTCGAGAAATCCATTCTGCCCGCTTCTTCCATTTGGGGAAATCTTCTGGAAGCTCGTGCACTCGAATGCCTTGGCAATAGATGGGCCGTGGAATGATCTTGAAATTTGCAACATGCGTGTGAACTAGTTAGATAGAGATAGAGCCGGTTTGAACCCCACTGTTAGAGTCAATCTGTGAATTCAAAAAAGGATAGGCTAGGCTGGCATGAAAAGTAGATATGCTTTCTATCCAAGGCTAGGAACACTGAAAGTCTTCACTTTGCAGCACCTGCACCAGAGAAGCCACAAAACTCTGACGAAATGAGAATGCTTCAAAACAATGGGCCATTCTGACCAGTGTGGCCCAAAAGCCAGAGATGCTCAGGACCATCGGCTTGCGTATCAGGTTCAGCTGGTGGACCAAACATTGGACTTGGATGGCGCTGACACGCTCATGGTCAGCTTTCTCCCGCAAAGATCCAAGGAGCCTCCTCTCAATCTTCCAGGATGCTGCGTTGGCTTGAAGGGCATCGCCAACAACGACTTCAGTTCGGAAAGCATGCAAAGGTGCCACATCTTGCTCTGCAAGTCCAAACTTTTGCAGCATTCCCCCAATTACATGTCCACATACCAGTGACATCGCTGTAGAGGCTGCGTGGATGTCCCCAGCTTGGGGACTCGCCAAAACCAACATTGGTGTAGGAATGTTCACTGTTTCCCAACATTCCTGTTTGCCAGCTGGGCTGTATCGAAAATGGGCGTATTGAACTGTGTTGCAAACACTGTGAATAGTGCTCCGCAATCCTGCTCCCTTCAAACGCGTATCTGTGTCATCAGCAATAACTACACTAATGACATGTTGCACTGGCTGGCCATCGCATCCCTTGAATAACTGCTGGACCATTGTTATGATATACTTCACCAGGCTAAATGTGCACCGAGCCCGTTCAGATCCCATTTTTTGGTAGTCATGTTCCTTTGACACGCCCTGTGGGTTGAAGAGATGGCGGGTGAAGTAGTTCCTTTGTAAAATGGATGTTCTGGTTTCAAGTGGGGTGCCTGTACAAGTACCAGCATTTCCGCCTTTCTCAAAGGACCCTGCTTTGGAGAGTCTGGCTTTTGTAGCAGCTTCCCTTGCTTTCGCAGTGCGCTGGACACGACGAAGCCTTGCCAGCTCCTCCTGGGGGGTAGGATCCTCCTCAACCTCCACATTCCGCCACAAAGATGCAAATGGCATGGCGGCAACTATCCCTCAGGTCAGTCTACTGGTCTACCAAAAAAATATGTCTAGTCTAGTCTAGTTAGAGGCTTCGGCCATCTATGGGAACAGCTTTCTCTCAGTCTCAGTGTTGAGGCCGGGGCTAAATTAAAGTTCAATGACATGAGTCGTGAGTCGTAAGTCCTGTGATTCTGGCCTTACTCAATGTGTAAGTCTGTAGGTTGGCAGCATCATATTTGTTTGTAGAACCTTTTGTGTGTTTGCTGCTGGTTGCCTTCCATTGATCCCCTGTATTTATTGGACTGACTGTCACCGTCACTGTCCCCGTCTCAATCTTTGAGTGGATAGAAACAAGCATCAGGATCGTCAGCATAGGTACAGTATAAGCAAACCAACCACCCTTAACCACCCAATGTCACTGTCTCCCAGCGCACCGCGTACTCGTCGAAGAAGGGATCGTGAGTTCCATCCTCTGTCTGGAAATCGTGCGTCACTCCCATCACCTGCACACTGCAAAGTTCAAACCTTGTTTGCTTTCACTTTGATTGAACCCTGATTGACTTGTGGACTGGAGCTTTGGAAATGTCTTAGTTTTGGCCTCACTCACTCACTCACTCACTCACCAGTCATTGTCACACTTCTGAATTCTAAATTCTTACCAGAAATCGAACTTGTTTTGAAGAAACATTCCCAGCCTCCTCCATCATGACAATGGGAGGTTTGGTCTGCCCTTAGTTCGGAGTAAAAAGTATGGAAGGTGCAGGTGTCATGTGGGTCAGAAAGATTAGTGATACAGTAGTGGCCTTGAGTCGCAACGATTCTTCTTGTTTACCTTGTTTAGCTTGTAGTAGGTGACAGTGTAGTGTAGTGGTGGCTATAGTGTGACTTGATGTCCATCCATGAAGTCTGTGGAATGCACCTGTGTGCTGCAAAGCTTCGAATGTATCTTGCACCAACCAGAAAAACTGAGCCTTCTGGAGAGTCAAACGGGTTGCCATACTTCCTCTTTCTGTTGAGCACGCTGAACGGTGGGCAGGGAGGCCCCCACAGGAACATCCAGGGTGTGTCCTGGAGAAATCAAATCAACATTCAAGATTCATATCATCTAACGATCAAAGTAGTGAATCATAGAGAATCCTGAGTCCTGCATCTCAGAGCTCCAGAATCTCAAAGTCTTATAAAGCAAAGCAATGGAACATAAAACAATTCGTAAACCAACATGGAACACGGACCACGCACTACAACTGCAAAAACTTATGACAAGTCCTGTCGTGAACCACAAGGATCAAAGCCACAGAACTTGCTATGGAGGTGGCACCAGCCAAAGCCAGTCAAGGTGCATGCCAGGTCGCTATACAAATGGCTGACTCAGTACCCACAGGTGAGCATGAGCAGTTCGTGCCTTTGACTGAAACCGGACTTCTGTCTACCAAGTCTACAGTTTGGTGGCTATCCAGGCTATCATCACTGCTACCTATCATCATATATTATATTATTATTAATAATATTCTATAATATATGATTTATGATTCGATATAAGTAATATCAATTATAACTAATTTCATCTGGCAGAACAGAACAGGAACCCAAAACATGTGTCTCTCTCATTCTCCGTTTTTGTTGTCTACTGGCAGTCGTCCCACAACTGTTCCATTGTTCCTGGAAGCCACTTGTTCATGCTCCAATTCAGAAGCTGAGAAGCTGGTGATTGGATAGTTCCGCTTGATGAAGTCTTGCTTGAACGGAGAAATCTCAAAAGCCGTTGTTCTTGTTTGCACTGCCAACTCACCACTGATGTCACGCCTTGGCATGAACATGAGCTAGGGCTGGGGCAGAAGTTGCACTTGGAATCTAAAGTGAACTCAAACTCAAATATCCAGACATCTCATCTACGTCTGCATCTGGAGACAAGATGAGACAAGTAGCATTGCATAGGTGCCAGTTGCAGCACCAGCGCACCCCTCTACGAGGTGCAACCTCATGTGGCGGTGGTGTTAACTCCCCTGTCTAGTCAGTCTACTGTAACTGTAGCTTTACTAGTGCACTGTGGCAGTAAGAGGCAATCTCTTCGAGTTTGTTCAAGGGCTCTAGACTTTCCGCAGGTTCCGCAGGTTGGTTTAAACCTTTGACTGTTCTGGTTGAGTGTGAGCCAAGCAACTTTGGAGGCAGTAAGTCTTTCACTGACTTGATTCCAAGGGCTTCGATGTAGAGACTTGCCCAGTTCAAGAATGTCGGTGCTGGGCCACGAAGATCGTCCTCATCTATCCTGAGATCAGATCTGATCAAACCGGCTAAAATCATTTTTGACAAATGAGCTGGTTGGCCAGTTGATTTCATATATTTCATCACTCAAACTCAAACTGGGTAAAATGCAAGGGTCGACCATGCTGGTAACGAAACTGGGCCATGACGAGGTTCATCATCTATCCTGAGATCAGATCAGATCAAACCGGAAAACATCATTTTTGAGAAATGAGCTGGCCAGTTGATTTCATCACTCAAGTTGGGTATAATGCAAGGGTCCCACAGGTCTACATTGTGCAGGAACAAGTAAACTGTAAACCATGAACCGTAACCTGTAAACTTGAACAAAGTACTTGCAGAACACAGGCATTGACATTGACCCCTACTTGTATGGACCAAACACACACAAACAAATACTTCAATTCAACCATGTCTCTGTTCATCATCAGGTCTGGAGGCCATGATCAGCACGGGCGAAGTCAAAAAGAAGCCCCGGAAACAACAGCACAAACCACATGTTCCCTCTTGAAGTTTGGGAGTGTTGCTTGTTACATGAACATCACTCATCACTAAATTGAATACACTGCTGATACCAACCAAAGGCATTGGAGAAAAAAACTTGGGCCAGGTTGGCGTCGAAAAGTACATGCCAATGCGGCTGCCAATTCAACTGAGTCTCCATCCCAGCTCATCTTTGGCTGGACTGTCCCTTTGCTGGTGTGGCTGCTGCTGCTGGGGTTGGAATTGTTCTTGGTAGGAACTGCGGGGGTCTCGGCTGAGATTTTCGTCTCAGTGGTGGCTTTGGTGGGGTTGGTGGAAGTGCTTTTGATGCTTGTGGTGGGTGAACTGGTGCTGGGGGAGGGGGTGGAGGTGGCAAGGGTGGTCGTGGGGGTGGTGGTGGTGGTGGCGGTGGTCGGGGATGTGTCTGGGGTGGTGGGGGGAGGGGGGGCAGGTGGCGGTAGTCCTTGAGCTTCTTTGCCTTCTTCACACGGATCCTCCGAATGACCTTTATTTTCCTTCTCCTCTTTGCCATGGTTTCTACATTAGCTTGAGCTGCTTGTGCGGCGGTTCCAAAATTCTTGTGTGCTTCATTGTTTCCTTCTTATTTGACTGAAGGCCTCTCAAAGTTACAATATGGGCTCAAGATAAGGCAAGAATTCCAACAATATGTATAAATAGTCTTGAAGGTTTTACAAATAGTCTCAAGGGTCCCAGGCTAAGAACACAGGAACATCACATTAAAGAGGCCCACCCAGACCCTAAAGTGTAGGTCAATAATACTTCCACACGTTTGGATTGTTGTAGCGAAGCAAGCACTTGCGGAGACCCATGTAGAACCTGAACCGAAGACCATTGAATATTGCTGTAATCGTGAAAACGCCCAGCACACTTGGCATGCTATTCCCAGCAATGGAGGAGCAAACGTCCTGTACCAACCCGTGTGATCTCCTCGCCATCTCAGGTGGTCTACCCACAGAGCGTGGTCGCCGCATCCAGGCCGTGGGATTGAAACGCCGCTCAGATGCGCACCGAGCACCGCAATGTGCCATGCTCTCCCCACATCTCGATGGGAGTCAGGTAGGTTCCGAGCTTCATAGTAATAGCAATGGCCTCCAACCTAATAGCGATGGCCTCCAACCTACTAGCGATTGCCTCCAACCGAATAGTGATGGCCTCCAACCGAATAGCAATGGCCTCCAACCTAGTAGCGATCGCCTCCAACCTAGTAACGATGGCCTCCAACCTAGTAGCGATGGCCTCCAATAGCATTGGCCTCCAACCTAATAACGATGGCCTCCAACCTAGTAACGATGGCCTCCAACCTAATAGCGATGGCATCCAACCTAGTAGCGATCGCCTCCAACCTAGTAGCGATGCCCTCCAATGGCATTGGCCTCCAACCTAGTAGCGATCGCTTCCAACCTGGTAACGATGGCCTCCAACCTAGTAGCGATCGCTTCCAACCTAGTAGCGATGGCCTGCACCCTAATAGCAATGATGGCCTCTAACCTAATTCTTGATCATTATTGTTCTTTTGGAGGTTTTTTTTGGTTTGCTAGCTGTCGCCTGTTTGGGCTGCCCAGAGTTCTTGGGGTGGTGACGAAAGTGACGGATCCCCGACAAGCCTGTGGCAAACGGAGCACCTCGTTTGGGGAGTGATGAGCCTGTACTGTAGCTTGAACTAGCTATAGCTTAATAAAATGCAAGCAGTCAGGAAAAAGAGGCAAACTATGGCAAACTACTGGGGTCGCGGGGGGGGTATCATTTGTTTTGTCATGGTTTCTCGGACCTTGTGAGATTCCTTGATCATGATTGTGCCAACTCAATCTGCATCCTTCGAAACATTCAACTCTCGACGTGTCCAGACGGCAAACTTTTGCTTGAAACTGGACATGCGAACCCAATGCGAAGTTTCGATCCTATAGAGTTTGACTACAGTGACTACAGTTCGATCCAAAAGCCATGGTACTCGTACAGATGCACCACTAGCTATGGGACTTTGCTACAACAGCCATGCTTTCGGTCAATTGGGCTTGGAGAGCACAAAAGGTTCCTCACCTGGAAGCATTGCCCATGCAGGTCACCTCCACTCCTTCGATGGCTCCTGGAGGCGGCTCGCCTCACCGACGCATCTCCTTCAACGCCAAACGCAGCAGCTGCTCGGAGGACTGTCATCTCCAGTCGTGGAGCGCCGAGAAAACACGTTGCAGAACTGGGGACGATCTGGCTTTCGGGTCAAAGACCTCATAGACCTCATAGGTGGAGCGCGATATGGACGTCCCACTTGTCCGTGTGGATTAATCTTTGGCTGAAGACAGCACGGTGTTTCCGAAACCGAACCTCCCGCCCAAGGATGTTGTGTCGACAAGTACGCTTTGCCAAGTAGGAAGGCCAGTGAGCAGATGTAGACAGGGCACACATCCCAAACAGGGGTTTTGGCTCGCCATTTGGTTGTGGGTCTTTGACCGACTATTTTACATCCTACCAGTGATGCAGAAGAGGGTGTAGACACTGTGGACCAAAACCTGTGTCTGAGTGTTCTACAACCTGGTTGGGGAGAGCTCAGATGGGCCAGCGACAAGGTCACATGGAGGAACAGATTATGACCTTCCTGGGCCATGCGAGGGAGCAGCTTGGTCAAGCAAATTCGATGGCTCGGCTGTGCCCAAAAGCTGTAGAATCGCGAAGGAGTGTCCAACAGGAGTTGCCGAGTTGCTGCAGCCAAGGAGTGCTAAGCTATTTGTCTCTTGATGATCTTGACGTGTGATGGAATATGATGGGGGTATGATTGTGATAGTCATATAGTTGTGATATACAGTGATATATATATATATATATGCGTGTGTGTGGTCGCAGCCATTCATCCCTAGCAGATCCGATTGCCACACACTAAGTCATACCAGCTTGGCCCCTTGTCATACGAGCCCACCGGAGCTGACGGCTGAATCGCCCCAAGGCACTTGGATGAGTTGCAGGCTGAAGCTCAGGAGGTGCGGCACCTGGAGCAAAGAGCCGCGGCCACTTGGACCCCGAGCGGTACACAGAGAGCCACGGTTCGGAGGTACCGGGAGCGGGATCATCGGATGGGTGGGGATGTCAGGCCTGGCGCGGTGCGAACGGACTTGGATTCGCTGACGGCATCATGAACTCTCAACACTTGCCCCTGAGTTCAGAACACTTGCGTGAATTCAACGTGCTGATCTTTATGCCATCCATCTTGCCCTTAATCAAACATGTAAGACAACCGCCAGATTGTAAGAACATGTTTGTCTCTGAGGGTGGTTGCTTTCAGTTTCTGCTTTCAAAAAGGCTCTGACAGTCCCCCTCTGTGGCGCCAAGGAGCTGCTGCTTCGCCTCTTAACGAAGATGCGCGTGCTGGAGCGACGGCGACTGCGGAAGGCAGCGGACAAGAGCATCTCTCAGCGGGCTACTGCGCTTGGTGCAGTCGGTCGGTGGATGGCCTTGGTAGTGCTGAAGATTTGGATTGATTTGGCAACTAAAAATGCACGATGCATTCAACAAGGGCGACCGAACTCGCAACTGTTGGAGTTCTAATGTGACACGTTTGCGGTGGCGCAAGGGCGAGTTGGGAATTGGGAGTCACTGTTTGCACCTAGGCTGGGAAGGAATGCAGATTCCAGAAGCATGCCCCACAATGTTGCTCAAGTTTAAGTTTAAGCTTCCATTGTGTCACTTGTCACTTGCTTGCTGGTGAGCTTGGGGAAAACAATCGAAAACCAAATATCGTTTGCATCCATTTTGTGCATCATGTGGGATCCAGCACACCAACACCGGTGTGTTCCAATGGATCCTTGGTGCCGGGGATCCCCACCTATCTATTCTTACGACGTCCATGCTTACGGAGGTTCCGTCACTTTGAAGCATGCTCATTAAGCCCACCTTCACTGTAGGATTCTTAGTATGGTTTCTCTATGTGTCTGAATGTTTGCCTATGTTTGCCTGCTACCTTTTTTCCCAAGTCAGTGAACGACCGGTGCCCGAGCAACGACTCTCTAAGGTCAATGATGTGATGCCCGGCCGTTTTGCAACTTGCCACGGTATGGGGTGCTTGCGTGGAAGACAGACCCGCCAGGAGACGGTTCCGAGGTTTCACGTCCTTTTCATGGAACAAAGTCATGTTCTTCCGGAATCTTTTAAAACGTGGTCCATCATGGTGAAATTAGATGACTGGCTTTCTTGCGTTCAGAGACATGTTTTCACTGTGGATCCAATCAAGCGTGCTATGCCAATGCTTTGCAAACCGGTTAAACCCGAGGGTTTCGCCAAGTATATTTTTGTCACATAGTCGCTTTGTTTCCCCCCAAGACGAGTTTCAGAGTTTGTAAAAGAATCACTGGACCATCAGGATTGTCCGGTGGTCCAATGGCAGTGGTGGATGGTATTACAACAGTCTTTGACACCTGCAGTGGGACCTACCCTTCTGAATGACACATCGACCTACACCGTTTCTCGGGAATACTTGGCGCTTCCCGATTGCCCGATGTGGCTTCGCGCGGCCCCGCGACGACGAACCCGCAGGTGGCGATGCATGCGAAGAAGCCATGGCCAGCCAATGAGGAGGGTCCAGCGTTGGTTGAAACTATGCACGACTGTGTACATGAGAGAGATCACCGACGGAACTTTGTGTGCGTCTTGGAGAGTGGGGGGAGAGCCTCCAATCAAAGAGCATTTCATATTACCAAGAGGTCTCCCTAGCCTTGAACGATCTTGAACGGCGGAGCGTTTTCCCAGCGCCATCCTCCCAGCAGCTTGAAAGGACTTCACGGTCACCAGCTCCTTGTTGCAGCAACAAGCCATTTGCCGTGATCTCAACAGCTTGTCAGCCTCTTGGACCAGCCAAAAGCGGACTTCGGAGGAAGTGGGACTGGCCTAGGATCCCATTTCCCCAAGAGCCCTTCACCTTTTTGCTTCATGCAGGTGCAGAGTCAGGAGTCTTTTTTCACTTCCTCAAAAAGAGCCGCTTGTTGTCATGTCCTTGTCGATTCTACATTGCCAAATCATGTCACTCACCACATGACTTTTTAGTGTTGCCTTTTGTTGCATTATGTTTCAATGTTTCTTGCTCGGTTGGTGAGAAAGTTGAAGGCACTATAGGGGCTCCAACTGATGAGCCCCCTTTATCTATATATCCGTCTTTCTACCTATATAATCTATTAATCTATCATAATCTATCTATCTATCTACCTACCTTTATGAATGTGTTTCAAGAAGCCTTTAGCAAATTGATCAACATTGGACCTGGTCGTTGGTCCGAGGTCCCTGTGGAGCTGAAAGATATTTGGACTGGCGTTGAGGCGTTTGGTGTTTGAAGCTGATGGATGAATTGGCACACCCATGGCCGATGCACAGACATGCGCAGACATGGCCAACGTTGCACCCGCCTCGCTTGCTCCAATCGCTCCTGGTGTCCAGGGGAAATTCTTGATGAAGAAGAAAAAGAAGAAACCCAAGCCCAAGAAGAACGAGGCAAGATACGAAGGGAGTGATGAGACCAGAAAGGAAAACAAACAATAGAGGATGTTGCTATCTGGTCTTCGGCATTGTTCCTGTTTCTTTTTCGGCCCTTCATCGAAGTAGGGTGCATGAGTCCTTCGGTCTGGCACCGGGGAGCAGGTTCGTCTGTGCACCGGTGATGAAGCTGTGTCGTGCATCCACCGTTGGCGTGCCAGGTGGTAAAGACGGAGGAGAAGGCAGACTGGGTTGCCAGTAAAGACTGCTTAGCTCCATGTTGGTCAAGCTTTTGAGGTTTGTCCGATGTCCTTGATTTTTTTCGGGGTCAAGGATAGTTCCATACTATGTTCTAGCATGGATGTGTTAGCTTCTTCTATGACATACCATGCGCAAGATTTCATGCTACAGGTGTTCTCTTTTGAGGAGTTTTGACTGGCCTATGAAGATCGATATGTTGGAGCTTTGATTTTCTGAAGGGGTGTAGATGACAATCCTTTTCACACATGCTGATCATTCGTTCAGTGTTGTTCGGAGTGGTCATTGCTCAGTCGCCTCTACAGGCACCTGAGATCGCAAGTCCGGCAGGCGAGGGCTTTTGTGGACGCTGTGACGCTGGGGTGGTAGGTCACGTTCGGCTTCTTATTAGGAGTTATTAGGATAGTGATGGCGAGGTTATATACCATGCCAATATACAATCATATAATATCATATACATATTATATATATATATATTACATCACAAACTATGTCACATCCTTTGGAAACTGACCAGTAACTTGGCAATGGACAGGAAGATTGCCACCAGCTTTATTTGTTCTTCAGTGAACTTGATAGTGGCTGATGGCGGGTTTGCCTCACTGACCGTGAGATACAGCAGAAGTCCAGCCCGCAAACGATCAATGGAAGATCTAACAGTGGCCCTGACCCTGCACATGAAATGATGTCATGAATCAGGTCAGGTCATAGGTATATTCTTATGCACGAGCAAGACGGGCTTTTCCTAGCCATAGTGAAGCGCCAAAACAAACAAACATGTTTTGAAAGGTAATAGATGCTAGATTCCACTTGGAACCAATTAACATTCTGACACACATTTGGTTGTGAATGTCAGTATACCTTTCAGTATTGGACCAGCAACCTTTCAGGAGGCCATTTCAGCTCCTAAACATCCACACCGCACATGCAAGGAATGACATACATCACATCTCATCACAGCCCACTGGACCCATGGACTCCCATGGACCCATGACCGTGACCCCGTGGCCGTGACTGAGCCTCGGATGACTCACTCTCATCCCCCCGAGCGTCGGTCCGTCTTCGTCCTCGTCCGGCGCTACGCAGTGAACTTGTGGAGTCAAGCACGGGACTCCGTGGCGGTGGGCAGCGCGGTGAATGCGATCCAAAGCCTCCAGACGAAGGAAGAGGCGAAAAAGGAGGAGGCGAAACCGGTCCTTGGGGGTTGAATCCATGTGGGAGGCGTTCTACTAGTAGTAGAACTGCAGTGCAGGAAACTAGCCATTGTTTGTTGGTAGGTAGGGCAGCTGGGTGATTGTTCTCGACTTGGGAGGTGCAAGCACCTGCCCAAGAAGCAGAGAAAGATGAGGCCCAGATGCAGCGGAACCTGTTTTTGTTGCAGGCTACAGGTGTTCAAGGCATCAAGGACTGTGTAAAAGGAAGTCGATGACCGGGCCTTTCTGAAGCTGTTTGCACAAACTACACAGTGAGTTACAGCAGCGGTTATAGTAGCGGTGGAGTTGTAGCACCGCTCAAAGTTCAGTATCAGTTGATATCGCCAAACTGTGTCACCACCAATTTCAATGAATGATGCCGCATGTCCGTTGCTTTGTGATGGAGTTGCATCACTAGGCAACACCCATGAAAACGCGGAGTTCCTTTTCCTCTCACAGTCAACTGTCAGGTGCGACGATGGTTAGGGAGTTTCTTCCAGTGAGTGCCGATTGAACGATGCAAGTTCGCACGTCAGGATGATGATGACGATTTGTTCAACTTCCCTCCCCACTTCTCCTTGGTCGACGTGCAACTTTTGCTCAGCTCCTCGTCGGACCTTCTCTCAGATGGGTGGTAGAATGGCCGCATCTAAACCTGACCTCACCGTGTGAGCACGTGTCAGGTTGTAGCGTTTCGAGGTTTGGTCTCAAAATGATGGAACCTCTGAAGCACACAGGAAGAGCATAAGGCTAAAGCTTACATCAAAGATAAAGGTGCAATTGTTTTGGATGTTTTGTTTTCCCCTGACAATGCACGCGGTTCTTGAAACCTTTTGCTTTGTCATTCACCCTCAAAATCCAGAATTGATGACCTCGTTAAACCCAAACTCCAGAATAGATTTTTGTTTAGATCTCTTACATAAAACCAGGTTGGAGGCCACCGCTATTAGGTTGGAGGCCATTGCTGCTAGGTTGGAGGCCATCGCTTGCAGGTTGGAGGCCATTCCTATTAGGTTGGAGGCCATTGCTAGTGGGTTGGAGGCCATTGCTATTAGGTTGGAGGCCATTGCAGTTAGGTTGAAGGCCATTGCTAGTGGGTTGGAGGCCATTGCCATTTGGTTGGAGGCCAACGCTGTTAGGTTGGGGGGCATGCCAGTGGGTTGGAGGCCATTGCTATTAGGTTGGAGGCCATTGCTGTTAGGTTGGGTTGGAGGGCCATTGCTATTACGTTGGAGGATGTTGGAGGCCATCGCTAGTAGGTTGGAAGCCATTGCTAGTAGGTTGGAGGCCATTGCTAGTAGGTTTGAGGCCAT